GAGTTAGAGGGGCGAGGTGATGTTCGATTAACACTTCCCAAGGCGAGGCTCTCACGGTTGTCAGTCGTTTGAGGGCCAATTAAATGAAAATCTCAGCGATTCACTCGGTGTTTTATTCACAGACAGGAGCTAACATGGCTCCTGGAAAACAGACAGGTGAGCCAGCGTGCCTTTGAATTGCTCAAGTTCCTGTTGGGATCTATTGGATTTACTGTAATCTTTAATTATAAAGTGTAATTACTTTAGAATGGATTATCAGTGTTGGTGTCCGTCTCTGTGAGTTGCCTGGTAACGTCTCTGGTAACTGCAGCACTGCCTGTTCTGCAGTTCCAGGCTTTTAAACCCACCAAGTAAAAGCCTCTGGATATTTAGTGCCTGCCCTAAATGGAACATCTCAATCAGCTGGGTTAACTCACAGCCTTTTTGTCGTCCTTTTGCTGTTACGTAAAAACATTACCGAGCACGGCGTCCCAGAGAAGTAACCTGAGAAGCTGCTCAGCTCTCCATTAAAGGTTTTCAAGTGAATTCCAGCCTTTTTGGACCATTCTGTTTGTAGGGATATTTATATCTCCGCGTGACAGTATTAAAACCAGCAACACGTAATGAACGTGATGCTGTTTCATCACCTTTCCCGCAGTCAATCCTGAATTATACAAGTTTATGCAAGTCTGATTAGGGAAAAATACATCCATTATTCCAAACATAAATGGCTTATCCTGGTGTGTTCAGGCAGACTTTTTCTTCTGCCTGCAACACTTGACAGTCAGTTCCTCTCTTTCTCTGCATCCTGTCATCTGGCAAATTATTTTTTTTACACAGTTGGGGAAAATATGTGGAATTACGTTGCATCTTAAAAATCCAAACTAGAACAGGGCTATTTTGAGGTAGCAAGAAAGTCAGAGGTGGGAAAGAACAGATCTTGGGCTTGAAAGGGATGAGACAACTCATCTGCCTCCAACTCCAGAGAAAGGGAGAGAGGTGGGAAAAAACAGGTTAGGAATACAATGGGGAAAGAAATATTTAAAATTACCTTTTTATCAACCAAACTGAAAGTTCCTTAGATGCTTCATAGTGAGATGTTTGAAGGGGAGTTGAAGAAAGGAGGCTAAAGATCCACAAAAGTGGTTATCTTGTGAAGATAATGGCTTTGTGTAATGTTCCTTGGAAGTTCTTGAAAGGGGCTGATTGGTCGGTATATTTAGATTTCATCCTTTAAGCATTTACTAATTGTCCCAGTCTAGATGGATCAAACTAATCAAATAGCTGTTTGGGAATGCTCTGCATTTGGAAATCTTCCCTGTTAACAAAAGGAGGGCAAGTGATAGTGGGGAGGAGGTTTTTCCCCTTTTCCTTCTCTCATCTCTCTGCTTTTTGCAAGACCACAAATCAGAGATTTTGAGTGGTTTAGTTATTAAATGTGCCAAAGATCTGCACGTCTCTTCAAAGGGAAAACACGTCCTTGGTCAAGTTTTTATCCTGAAACCTGTTTCATCACTATCTGGATCACAGAATTCACTAAATGCCTTTTTTTTGTTCTGCTGCTGCCTGTGTGAAATATGTGGGCATGAAAGCCAGATCCTTTTTGGGTTCGGAGGGACCAAAGCACAGGGAAAGATAATGGCCTAAATGATGAAAGTGATAGTGCGGATTTTCAGAATTCAGTTTCGCTATTTCTAGTTGATTTTAATATATAATTGTCTGACTGGGCTGCTGAAACTCTCAGAAGTAACAAATGGCTTACAGGTTATAGAAAAGAAAGAGCAATCTGACAAATTAAATTGTAAATTTGGAAGTCTCTGCTATAAATCAGCCGAGAGCCAGAGTGATTAGAATATCAGGGCCAAATAGATAATTATCTATTAGATGGCAGATGGCTCACTGGTAAGAGCAAAATCTAAAATTATGGATCTATCTCCATAATTTTTGTGGGTTCTGGTGCCATTTTTCAAATCTGAAATGGCATAATGTTAACACTGATGTATTGTGATGTGTCATGACTGGAATGGCATAAAATATTCACTTCTAACCTTCGTGTGGCTCATCAGAAACCCGCCTGAAACACCTCAGCAGGCACATTCCCCTCCCGCACCTCTCGGCTCCAGCCCCTTCCCTTTCAGCCTGGAATTCGGAACCTCGGCCAGGGAAAGCATCTGAAAAGCTCCTGTGAATGTGGAGCCCCCACTTTTAGAACCTTGATGAATCCCTTCAGCTGGTTTGGAAGTTCGAGCTGCTAAATTTGGCCTGGAGAGGCAGCTGCAGGGAGCCAGAAGGGGCAGAACGGTGCAGATGCTTTTTTGGCTCTTCGTCTTTTCCAGTTGCTGCTTTTGGACCCCGTCGTTTGGAGAGAGGAAAGCTTGATCTTGGAAAACGAAAAGGGAGGGGAGGGAAGGGGAAGAGGCACATTATGCAACTTGCCTCCCAAATCTACAGGGTTTGAAAGCAGCAAGCAGAATTTTGTTCACGGAACGGAACAAACTGGCAGTTTGATGAAGCAGCATATCCAGTCTCATCCATCCTCTGTCTCCCTGACTATCAGCTCGGGACAGAACAAAGAAGGAGAGTTTAGGACACACCACAGGCAGTGCAGCCCAAGAAATCGTTTTGTAGGGGAACCTTCTGCAGCGCCGTGACAAATGCAGCTTAAGTGGCTGAATAGGCAAATGAAGAATAAACGTGTTTATTCGAACAGTGCTCCGAGTCCTGTGTGAAGTGGGTCACTGTGGGGAGCCTGTCAGGCCTCAGGCTGTCCCTCCTCGTGTGAGGAGACAGGAGGAGAGGAGGAGATTTCCCCTGTAGGATATAAGAGGCTGTTGAAAGGAAACCCAAGGTAGTTTTCCATCATCTCCCTGCGATGGAGGTGCTGGGGAGCTCTGGATCACACTGAGCCAGCCTTGCAGAGGTGCCTGGGTCTGGAAACTTTGGATCTTCTGGAGTGGAGGGGTTAAAAAAGTCGAGGAAGGAAATAACTTTAAATTCCATGCTCAGCTTAAAATGAGGCTGATTCAGAATTACAACGTTAGTTTTAGGCAACAAAATAGAGTCATTTCCACATCCTCTTCACGTCCAGGCTCTCTCTGTGCCAGAAGGGTGGGTCCTCCTTCCTCAGCTCTGATTTAGAAGAGGAATGAACCCAGTAGATTGACTTGCTGTTTCCTTTCTGTCAGGAGCCCTGCTGTAGGAATGTTTTCCTTATGGAAACACCATCTCTCCTGCAGGGAACTTCAGGATTAAGTTCTGGGACATAAAAGCATTCACTCCCTACTGTCCAAGAGAGGCCAGAGCCCCTCAAAGATTTGCCCTCTTATCTTAATGAAAAGTGAGAACTTTCCATTTAGCATCTGCTACCACTGGAAAAATAAAATCCAGAGATTTAGCAAAAATAAACACCCTGAGTCATATGATTGAGACATGTTCGAGTGGATTTTGTGGAGGATTTCTTCCCCCCACACCGGGGTCATTATTGAGTTTCCTCAGAGCAGAGCACTCCACTGACTAATTCATCCCACACCGAGTTTTTAAAACCCACGTTGACTTTATTTGTTTGTCCAACGTTCCATCTCCTGGTGGTGTCAGAGTCCGAATGTTATCAATCAGTCCAGCAAATGTTTATCCTTCCTCCATATGACCAGCGTTGTGAAACTTTACTTTGGAAGCTCGATGTTTGGAAAGGAGGGGGTGGGAGGGTGGAAATCTGGCGATGTGGCCTTTCAGGGCTGTGTGCTAATTAACGAGGATACCGCCAGAGGCTTGTGATGTTGGGCTGCTGAAACACGCAGCTGGAGGGAAAAGTAAGAACTGAAATGACAGCAGAAATTCCAGACCAAAGTAAGCTGCCCGTTCTGATGCCGAAATAGAGCAGCAAGCGCTGCTGCAGACGCGAGGCAGGGGCGCTCTGCGCAGGAACGATTTGTTTTAAACTGTCATTTTCTCTCAAAAAAGTCTGGTTTCACTGAAGCATTTTAGACAACTCTTACCTTTGTTGGGCTCGGCAGAGAACGCTGTTGGTTCTCTGAAGCCGCTTTCCTCCCCTTTGTTGTCTTTTTTCCCAGGGATGGAATCAAAGAATGTCCAGGTCACTGCGATGCTGGGGCTGGGACTGCTCAGAGCCGGGCTGGGTGGGTTATAAAAGGCAGCTTTATTTAAGGCACTCCTCAGAAGCTGACAAGTCCCAGACTCTCCCAGATGAAGAAAAGCTACTTGTAGGTTTAATTTTTCCTACCAGCTGGAGCCAAAGGGGCAGGAGGACAGAAAAGGCTGTGCTGGGATGTGTGTGTGTGTGTGTGTGTGTGTTGGAACCTGCCCAAACTTGCCTTGCGGTCCTCAGGGGAAGGTTAATGTGCTGGGTTTCAGGCAGGACAGTTCAAATGTCCCCAAAGGAATTGTTTGAGTTGGAAGGGGTTTCTCAGAAAGCACCCAGCCCCTTGTGCAGAACTCTCTCAAGGATAAGACTTTGGAGTTTTGATAGAAGATATCAAAATGTCACGGATTTCCCCTTTGTGAATGTCTTCTGTTAATCAATGGAAGGTAAACTTCTGTGCAGTCCTAAAGACCAATTTCTTCCTGTACTTAGGGATAGATCAGCTTTGGCTTTACCATTTTTGAAATACTGATAAAATTGAAACACTGATAAAACTGAAATTCTGAAATACTGATACTCCCTGAAAAAGGTCAGAGATAGAGACATCTTTCTACAACCCCCCCCCTTGGTTTGGAGAGCTGAGGGGAAAAGTAGGCTCTTGGTGTGTTGTGTACTGTGGTACTTCTGAGATGTGCCAGTCCCAAGTTCTGCATCAGGAACTTCCTCAGACTTTTGGATGCAGCTCCACTCATCGTGTTCAGTGTGAATTAGGATTTTATAATTAATGGGCCATTGGTTGCTGGGTTTAGCAATAAATGGGAAACTCCCATTCCTTCCCAGAGCTGAGGTTCAGAAAACTTTCGGTCCTGTTAAGTGTTTTTATTCAATTTTATTCAATTTTACTCCATTTCTCTCTTCACAGATGATGAAATTCGCTTGGGATAACTACAAGCAATATGCACTTGGAAAAAACGAGCTGCGCCCGCTGACCAAGAACGGCCACATCGGGAACATGTTTGGTGAGTTCAGACTCAATCTTAGCACAATCTCATTGAATTTTTTAAAGGTCACATGTCAGTTCCTCTCCCTGCAATGCGCTGAGGTGTCTGGAACAGCTTTGATCTCCCTCCCCTCTCCACTTGTACGAAGCAAGACTTTGAACCCCCATCTCCTAGGGGTGACCTTCCCACGTGCCATCGCTGGGAATCTCGTTCCTGCAGGCATCTCTCAGCCCCAGCCTGGGCCACCTCTCTGTGCAGATCTTGCACCAAATGTGTCTGCAAGCAGTGCTAAACTGAAAGTGCCTTTATTAAAACATGAAGTCGGTCCAAGCCTGACAATGGTGCTATTTGTCTGAGCTCGTAGACATCAGGACCTGACCAAACTGAGCGTTTTCTCACCCCTTCCTCCACTGTGGAGCGAGATGTGAATTCCATGAAATATTGAGGGAATCAATATTAAAAGCTCCTTATACTGGCTGGTATAATTTTACTCTTTAGCAGATTACTTTTTTTTTTTTTTTTATGTGAGCCACTTACATAATTTTAGTGCTACTCCCCTGTTCCTTCTGGTGGGATACTTGTTGACTTCTTAGGGTACTTCCTGATGCTTTGGGATATAAACTGTCTTTTTCCTCCTTTGCACTCAAAGCATTTCCCTGCTCTGCTCTCTCTGGCCCTGCTTGGCCTTTCCTGACAGGTTATGCCATGGTGAGACCAGCAGAATCGGCCTGACCAGCCCTTTCCCACCCATCCTCAGGGAATTCTTGCTGTGCAGGGGTCTCTCAGCTGCTCTACAGCAGAGTCTGTTTTTCAGAGATTATCTCCTGGAGTTTCCTCACCCAGATTAGAACAGAATAGAGTTCTTTAGTGGGCAAGTTATCTGTGAGTTTATTTCCTCAGGGCAAAGGGATAGGACTGATAGTTTGGAGAACACTCCCATTTCCTGCTTTGCCCCCCTGTAGGTGTCCCAGTCTTTCCCTACATGAGGCACATGATGTGGGGATCTTTCAGAGTGGTTGTGGAGATCTTCTGCTCTGTGTGGAGACTGAGTTCAACCTCCTGCAGAGACCTCCTTAGCTCTGGCGTTCCAGAAAGGGAAGGTTTGAAGGTGGAAATGAGTCAGGTGTCTTCTGACACCATCAGCCTGGGGAAGAGGAGCTTCAGGGTGACCAAATCGTGGCTTTCCAGTACCTGAAGGGGCTAAAAAACAGATGGAAGGAGACTATTTACAAGGGCCTGGAGTGCCAGGACAAGAGGGAATGGCTTCACACTGACAGAGAGAAGGTTTAGATGGATATTAGGAAAAAGTTTCTTCCCTGTGAGGGTGGAGAGAACCTGGCAAAGGTCACCCAGAGAAGCTGTGGCTGCCCCATCCCTGGAAGCTCTTTAGTTCCTCACAGTACCAGAGGGTTAACTCACATCTGGTTGTGCAATACTGGGCTGCAAGAGAGCCACGTTAGTGGCTGTGGGATATCTGGAGGAAGCAGATTTGGAAGTGGGCTGGAAGTGTGTATGACAATCTTGCTCAGTCAGGAGCTTTGATTCGGGTTGGTTTGTCCTTTAATTTTTTGGTTTCTCTTTCAACCCCCCCTCCAGCAACACCCAGGTTTCTTGCTTGAGAATTAAGTCCAGCACTAAGTTAAGCATTTTGCAGCTTTTCCATTCTGGCAAGCCTGTCAAAATTCCTCAAGGAGCATGCCAGTAAACAGACAAAAATATTGAAAGCTTTAAAATGCATTTATCATGCTGAAACAATTGACAGTACTTATGCTTGTTTGTAGCGTGCCTGTGAGCACTCTCAAGGAAAATGCTTTGGAGCACAAGGATTTGCAGACAATTGCAGAAGAGAAGCTACATGGTACATCTCAGCCTTTTAATAGGCTTTTCCTCCTTTTAACTGTGGCTGGTAAAGAAGGGAAGCATTAGGCAGTCCCTCGTTGCAGCCCTCTATCCCTCTTGCCTTCAGAGACTTTTAGAAATTAGAACAGGGCCCTGTTGCCCTTCATTGTTGCCCATTCCCCCTCCTGTCACTTCTTGCATCTTTTTATTCCTAACTGCAGATTTAATGGAGGCCAATTGGCTGCTCCCCGGGCGGGAGATGTCAATATTAAACTGAGATTTCTCTTGCAGCTGCTTCCACGTGGGAGGGGAAGGAACCTCTTTGGGGCTATTTTCAAGTGTGTTTGTGTGCATGGGAAGCAATCAAGTTGTTGAAGGGTGATACATTTTGCTGTTGTGGATGTGATGCTCACTTTGTAGCCTTCAGTTTAGCATCTCGCCCCGGGGGGGGGAAGCGGGGGAGCTGCTCTGTGTCAAATATTCTCTCTAATCAAAGGAGAAATAAAAATAAACATTCACCTCCCGCTCCTCTGTATCATCCTGCTTCTCCCAACAGCCACGAGGATCATCCCTTCCCAACGTTTTCCCGCCCAGCTGGCAGGAAAATCACCGGCAGGAAAACTCTTGTATCCCCCCCCAAATCAGTCAATCTCCTTGCTCCTCTGCCTTGGAAGGTGGCAGCTCACCTGGAAATTCAACTTGCCCCCTCCCCAGATAATTTCTAGGCTGCTGCACCCCCGCCACAGGCAGCATCCCACTCACTTGGACTTCGATCGGGTGACTTGGTCCTCACGTTCCCGCTCGTGATTGATGTTCTCCAGATCCTGTTTCTAGGGCATCAATTTCATCAAGACTCTCCCACGTTCTGGACGTGGTTTATTTGTACAGAACTCCTCTGATTGCTGTCATTTATAATCACTGCAGCTTGAGAGCCCTTTCCTCAAACCCACAAGCTGTGCTTCTTTCGTAAGCGTCAATTATTCATCTGCGATGCTCGTGACGAGATGGGCCCTGCTGAACATCCCAGCAGTGGGGTAAACGTGTTTTACACTTTCAGATGGGGGGTGGGGGGGGATGATTTGCCTGGAAAAATGTGGAGTGGGAAATGGGCGAAGCCCTCTGCTAGGGGGGGTGGAAGGATGATCCCTGCTGGAATTAAACCTGCACCGCGAGGTTCCGGTGGGGACGGCTGCACAGCTGGGGGGTTTCAGAACTGTCTGCGAGATTTCCCTCTGTACTTCAGGTAACTCAAGGGAAACCTGCAGAATGTCAGACCACTGATATTTGAATCAGGCCCCAAACTTGCTTTTTAAGGGAGATTTAAGGAAAATGACACCGCTGAGCTTGTATCTAAGGGTAAGGCTGGACATCTGCAGGTACTTATTATGCTCCCTGTGCTGATCTGCTTACTTTAACCCTCCTTAACCATCTCAGCACTCCTGCCTTTGGTGCTGTAAGCATTAAATTTACTGATGTTTGCAAAGCATGTTGAATTCCTGGGAGAGGGCAGCCCTGTTGTGCAGCACAGCCCTTGAAATGCAGCTGTCTCTGGGATATCCAGCAGCAGAGAGCTGAGTTATTATTCTGCCCGCTCCCCAGGTCTGTCAGAGCCACTTATTTCTCTGACAAAATGTTTTTAAAATCCTGTTAGCTTTACAGAGTTTCTCTAGCTATGGGAGAGTGAGCTGGCATCTATTTCTGCTCAGGCATCAGCTGAATTGTCAGCTACATTTTGATTGCACAGTCTTTTAACAATGATAAGGTAAGAAGCCTGATTTTCAGATATCTCCTGAAGTGTGCAGTGCTGGCAGCAGAAGAGAATCCCTCTTTGACTTATAACCTGAGCCAATTTGCTCTGAAATCAGTGACAGAAAGTAAATATAGAGCCTTGGTGTGCTGTCAGACATTCTCCACCACCTAAATGCACGTCGCTATATTAATTTTAGTTTAAAAATAGCAACCCTTAACTAGATTTCCCCTCTTGCTTCCTCTTTCCCCACTTGAAATCACACCTAAAATTATGAATTGCCTCGTTGCAGCCACTGCTTTCTCTCAGCATATGCTGAATTTATGCAACATCGTGAGGCTCTGTGGCTTTATCTGATGCGAATCCATGTGACAACTGTCACATCCAGGGCACCTCCAGGTCACCCTGACCGGATGGCAAAGCCCTGGCAGCAGCTGGATCTGGAAGATGAGAGGTGTGTTCAGACCTCACCCCTGAGCAGGGCTCTCGTGTTGCTCCACGCTTGACTGTTCGGTGACAGGACACAGGGAGATCTGCACAGGGTGGAGGATTTCTTGGAAAAATCTGTGGCTGTGTTTGTGTACTCGGCTCAGACTTTGGCCTGAGCTGTCCCGACGGTTTGTTTGGAAGACAGGAGGTCATTGCTCTCAGCTGCCTGGAAATGGTGCTGGTTTGGCTCTCCAGGATAAAAAAAAGGGGTTGAAATGGCTGGGGAAGCAAAGCAGTGACCACATGAACACACAGAGAGGCCTCTGGAGAGCTGATTGTCCCGAGATCCAGAGCCCTGCACTGTGACCCTGTGACCTGCCAGGCTCTGATCCGGGTGGGGATTCAAGGAACATCTTCCCACTGGATTGAACACCACCAAGCTCCTGTCACAGCCAGCATTTAACAGCAGCTGCTCTGTGACTGTCACCTCAGGTGCTGGGTCCAACTGGACCCAAAAAGCTCCACATCCCAGGATTTGTGCCTTCAACCATCCAGTGTTGCCAGCTGAGCCAAAACATTTTCCAAACAGCTGCTTCCTTCACCACTGATTTACCTAGGAAACCGTGGAGCAGGCAGGAAATGTTCCCACCTCAGTTAGAAGCAACAGGAGTTGATGTATGAATAAGGTAATTGGATGAAAATATTAACTCAGCAACATTCCGACTAGCAGAAGGAAATGGTAACCTCCAGTTGTGCTGCACCTTTTCTATCTGTAAGTCTCTTTCCTTGGGATCACAAAACTACAAAACCCTGGAGTGTCCTTTTGTGTGATTAAGATAATAATAATAATATTAACAATAACTGTCTTAATTTGTATGCTGAATCATTCCTGCTGCCTATTGCACGTGACATTACGTGGTTGGCTCCGAGGGCTCTTTAAAGACAGAAATATATTGTGATGAAGATGTTGCTGGAACTCTGTTGCTCCGTGGCATCATCATCT